GCACATTTATCGCGATAAAATCTTTACTTTCGTTATTGCCTTTCTCCCTTGCGCCGGACACGAGCGTCATTCCTCATTCGCCGCAGCTTTTATTTTCAAGGCAGCCACGTGATCAGCTCGCATTAGCTGTTCTTAATCAAATTCGCATAAGCTGTGGAGTATCGGTGATTGCACTGGGCTCGCTACTTAGGTACTGCAGGCATTTTTCATTTCGTGCATGTTTCATCGCAAACGTGCTTTATCGGTCTCGACTACGTCTAGACATGCATTTAAAGCAACGGCCACTAAATAAACGTCACGCGTACAGTTAATGTCATCAGCGACTGATATTTCGCGCCAATAAACCAAATCGCCATGCTTTGTTTCCTAGAAATTGTAATGGAGATTAGTCGCTTTCTAACGAGCATTTATCTTTTAAATACGTGAGCCTTGTGCATTATGACCTCGTATAATATTTGTAACCATTTGTTTGTTTTGTTTTGTTTTGTTTTTTTGTTTCTATTTTTTTTTTTTTTTTTTTTTGTATTTTTATTTATTACTTTTTCGTTTGTCGTAGCTGTTAGTTAATGTTCAGTGAGAGTGTTAATATTTCATGCGTGTATGTCGTTGAGCACGTGGAGATGTGCGGATTTCATTATATTACTGCCAATTGTTTGGTACTGCCAAGTCTTTCGAATGCTGTCAACTGTGTCAATATTGTCATTCGTGAAAAATACTAAATCCTAGATAGGTCGGATAATGTGTTCGTTGTCGGCTAAATTCGACGAGCAATTATTCATCAAATTGCTTACTTAATCATTGTAAAAAAATTTTCGTACATTGTGTTTCTGCATCTGTAGAGTACTTGAACAACATTATGGATTATATATGGAATAATAAAATTCATTATTCGTTCGTTAGATTTTTATGACTAGTTTTACATACTAATATTGCCGTCGCATCTGTTTTGCAAAATAACGATTCAATTTTAACATAAAAGTTACGATGATTCCGAGGTAAAATTGATTTAAGTGTTAATTACACGTCAGTTACATAAGCTGGAAAGTGTTGGCTTTAAAATAATAAGCGAATGGGCGAATAAACGACTATTGCTCCATATCTCGATGAAGCCATTTAAATGCTCTTCTTTAAATTAACGCGCTCAATACAAATATAACAGGAGCGCGCATTAATTATTAATTTGTGTACGAACGGCAATAAGGAATTTTCGTCGTATGGTAAACGATTGTTTCAATAATTCGGGCAAAGTGAAAAGTACAATAGAAAAGGACGATATAAACATAGCGCGCTATCGTTCACTATAAGGGATTATTGACAAATTCATGTATGACGAGCTCTTCTAACAAGGCAGACGCTTAGATAAGAACTTTTAAAAATTCTGCGAATGAATTAACCATTGGTGGCAGTAATCGGGTGGCATATCGATTAGTTGGACAGACAAAGATAGCATCGTATATGAGAAATGCTTATTTCCTAGCTGTTTGGAAATAAATTAAATGGATTAAATGCCCATGGAAATTAATGCGGGGACTAATGGATATTTTCATAGATATTAAAATAATTCGGTCATGCGCGTATAAATGTTGCCGACACACCTTCGAGAGGCGAGAGGTGACCAACCTCGGTTACTATATTTCAATAATTCTGAAATTGATGGAAACTGAAATAGGATATTCGAAAACAAAAATGATTAACGTTCTCAAATAAAAGGGGCAAAAACTTTTAAGCCACACAGCGCGTAAATTGCTTTACGAGTAAACAGAAATTCGCAGATGACAAAAAATAAAATGGCCGACTTACGAATGTTAAGGTTACGTGTTAAAGCGTCGAATGCCGTGCTAAGTTTACGTATGCCCCTCGACATTCTCCCATTTAATACAGTGAACGCTCTCCCTCTCTCCCTCTCTCCCTCCCCCTCCCCCACTCTCGAAAGGCAATCATCGACAATGCAATATTTTCTGCGTCGTTCCGCGCATTTACGGCTATACATGGGTAGCAGCACAAGCGGCACAAGGGGCACAAGCGGCACAAGCGGCACAAGCGGCACAAGCGGCACAACCTCGCGGCCAACATATATACACCAGTCGCATATTACTTCATTCGTAATAATTGCACTTATGCTATCGAGTACTCTTGCGTCTTTCTCTCACTCGCTAGTACACGAAAAGTACACGCGCAGCGCTTTCTATGCACTTTCCGCGCCTTCCAAATCTTTTTTCCAAGTCCAATCCAAGTCTTTTTTCTCTATTTTTTTTCTTTTCTTTCTTTCTTTCTTCCTTTTTTTTTATTATTTTTTTTTTATGGAAAGCGTGTTCGGCAACTCACCGAGAAGTCGAAGCGATACGCGTTGCGCGTAAGCGGAAATTTTGATACATCATCTTATTTTCATTTGACGTCGTTACTGAAAAGATGTTATAATAAGTTTACTGCTACATTGGCCACTTATGTTTTTTCACGTATTTCTTAATGAATTAATTGCAATTCGTCATATCCATCCGCAAATTTATCGACAAATACATGAAATCTTTATGATTTTGAATTTTAGCTGACGAGCTCAATTCGGCTTGTCCAACGATTAAAATGTAAAATGATAATACTGCACGTGAAAAGCATGTGTTTTCACGGCGTAAATATAAAATAATAACTCGTCCAGATTATTAATATAAATAGCTTATCATGTCGCGAGTAATGTTAAATATCTTCATTAAGCACCCGTGGTTGTTGCAGATTTCGACGAGTTTATTTTTGTTTTGAAATGACAATACACGTTGCTTGGAAAATAATATGACTGTAAAGCAGCAGCTAATGTTTTGTCAAACATTAACTTTAGGCGCGAGTGGCTCCTTGCGGGCTATATTATCCTTTCGCTCGCTAGTCCTTCTTACGCTATTGTAAACCAAAAGCATATTGGTTTTGTAATGAATGTTTTGGCATTAAGATTCGGACTGATAATGGAGGATGTACGAATCATTGCGAGAAACAGAAATTTATCCCACAAGTAGTCGTGGGCTTGATTGCCGCGGTCACGAATTAAAACGAAGCTCGAGTCTTGAGCGAATCTAGGAATCTAATTCGACTTATTTGGGCGAGAAAGGCTATTGAATGCGCGAAGCAACTGAATTTTTCATGTTCCCGCAGAGTCGACCCTAATAATAAATACGTGGCGCGATTATTGAAAGAGAGAGAGAGAGAGAGAGAGAGAGAGAGAGAGAGAGCAATTATGCTCGATTAATTGGATAGTAATAGAAGGATCGTGAGACAGTTGGTGATGCCAATGACTTTAAACTCGTAAAATTCAAGTATCGAACCCGAGGCGATAGAAATAGAGAAAAGTCGATGCACGATAAGTGCCATGAACGACTCTCCCCCCCCCCCCCCTCACCACAACCTCCAGCCCATAAACGTGTCATTGAAAACGTAATTCCCTATCCCCCTTTCACTCCTACAGCGTCGTTAATAGCGTGACGAAGAAACGAAGAGACCTCAACACCTTTTTCGCATGTAGGTTATGCCGCGACCGATGTCGACGCCGCCGCGGCACTCGGGCACATAACGAGAGCGATCCGTTTATAAGAGATCAAGAGTCGCGGGTTAAGGACGTGACTCGAGGACGATGACGATTCGTTCGCGTTCGTCTTGCGTCTTGCGTCTTCTATTTTCAGGCAACGCCGACGGTGAAGACACATCGGGAACGGCTGTTTCCCCCGGTGATTCCGCGTAACGCGGACGAAATCGATGCACCTCGACCCTCGCGCACCACCTATTTTTACAATTAATGGCGATTTTAGGGGCGCCCCCGTGATTCGCATTTTACGAACATATTCCCCTCTTCTTCTATCCTCTCGCTCCACCGACACCGACATCCTATGTCCGCCCACGTATTTATTTATGCATGTTGCCCGAGCCACGACCCTCGAAATGAACTGCAGCTGTACCTTGTAGTATAATAATGTGTACTTCCATAAAGTGCAAATAATTTTACGAGCCTAGGCTTTTATTGTTTCCATTGCTCCTTACTTTCAAAACTGTCGCCTTTCTTTTCTTCTTCTTCTTCTTCTTCTTCTTCTTCTTTACCTTATTTATTAAGGAGCTACGATGGGAGCGAGAGCGCAAAATTCCCTTCGCGTTAAGCTACGTCTTCACTCTCTTCGGTCTCCTATTTACCTGAAATTTCATAATTAAGCTTCAATCAAGCTTTCCTACACGTTTTATTAATTGTGTGTCTCGAGCGATTTCTATCCTCCAATCCTCCACGCAACTCCTCTCGAGGCCAGATTTTTTTTGTTTATTAAGCTGCATAATCGGAGCTGAGCAATTGCACGCTTGATGCAAACGAACAATTTTACTCTCATTCGTTTCATTGGGCTTGTGCGAATTTTGTCAACTATCAAGATTAATCCAAGTCGGTATAATGCCGAGCCTAGCTGACCATATTATTTACCAATTATCACATGACCTTATCATTTACTACATCCGAGCTTTGCTCGATTTTATACTTTCTTTAGCCAATGAGAAGGAATTTTATTTACAACTTAAAATAAGAAAGGCTTTCTTTGCTTTACGTGTATGCTTATACTTTGAGCCTCGTTACATCTTTATCAACCTGAATTTGCAATTGTATTTTTTTCAACATCCCACGATTAAGCCAAAGAGGAGACAGGAATAATTGTAAATGCATCGATAGTCAGCTAAAGAATAAAAGTCCTTTACTAACTTAATAAAATATTGCTAGTTGCGCGTCGAACACGAGAAAATATTTATCTCGATGAACGTTTAGTAAACGTAGAGCTTTCCCTATATTATGAACCAAGCGAGTGTCGAACCATACTAACTTTTCCCAGTACTAACCGCTACCTCGTGCATTGGCATGGGTACAAAAATGAAAATCGAATGAAGAAAAGAGAGATGGAGCGAGAAAAATAAAAGCTTAGAGATATAATATGAAGAACGGCAGGATTCGAGTTGTTGCTAACGCAGACGCGATCTCCTTTCTGTTACAGGACCAGTTCGAAAATCTATCCCTCCACACGCAAAAGGGGATAGATTTTCTGGAGCGATATGGCCACTTCATTCGGGATCGCTGCACCATCGAGGAGGAGTACGCGACGAAGCTCAGGTAGGCTCATGCCCCAATTGGTCCGCCGGCATAAGTCGGCAGGATGGATCGCCAACATCGCGATTTCGGCGAGTGGCGCCTTCGCTCGGCCCACGCTTTCCTCGCGCGATCGCTCAATTATGATAATGGCAGGGTGACGCGTTGCCCCCGTCGTTTTTCATAGACGACGATTATTATTATTATTATTATTATTATTATTATTATTATTATTATTATTGGTTCGGATTGCGCGGCCAGTTAACAATATGTTCCCAACGAGCCCATTAAGCATGTAGTGAATATGCGAACGGCCGCTAAAGAATTTACGAGCTTGTATAATGATTTATTTATACATGCCGTGAAATAAAGCGACTTTCCGCTTAATATTGTTCAAGCGGTTACGTTTTCCTTTCGAAATAATTCTCAAACGACGCTTGATTTACATTTAATGTTACGCACGGGATATGCGCCTATTCGTAAAAAGTTCATTTCTTTCGGCGAGAATTTAAAAGACTTTCGACTTTCTTACGTGCCGTTAGCCGTATAGAAAGATATTTCCTGGTTGCGCAATGTGTTAACTTAAGCGACAAAAAAAAAAAAAAAAAAAAAAAATAAAATAAAAAAATTAGAAAAAAAAGAAGTATCACAACTCATAAAGTAACACATTGGATTTTATGATTCCATAACGTTACGCCGTTATGTAAAAGTGTAGCGCTCTGTCGCCCATAAGAAAATCCATGAACTTAGAAAGAAATCGTTTTGTAATTTTGTAAAATGATTGGGATTTATATGAGTGTGCGTGCGTCCTATTGTATCTTGGAAGTTGCGATAGGGAGAATAAGAAGCGGTAAGAGAGAGAGAGAAGCTAGAAGTTTGTCGCTAAAGTGAATTAAAATCATTTATCGTGTAAATAATTCATCGCCCCGGCAAAGGAACACCAAAGAGCAATTAGCCGCACAGTGGCAAGTTGCCGATAACCGGTGCTAGAGTGGTTTGAAGGGTGGATGGGGGTGGGGTGGGGTGGGGACTTGTTATTGGAGAGAAGTATCAGGGAAGCTTCATTCATCGTTGAGCTTATCGATAAGTGGCGCTCGAGGCGTAGGGGCATCGTCGTTCGCCATCTCCTTTTCGCGCGACAAGCATAAAAAGAAAAAGCGCGGATAGAAGGGAACAAAGGCGCGCTGATGATGGGTCGGGGGACGGTGGCCGAGGTGTGTTAACCGAGAGTCGATTTGCAAAGCCCCTTGACGGGGGTTAAAAGAGTCCTCCTGAATGCCGCCAACTATGGGAAACTCGATGCATTTTTCTTGATGTAACGCGCCCGTTGCAATTCCCCAACATCGCACTTCCAGCTCATTTTGCATCGATCTCACATGCGACTTCCGTTTTTTCTTATGTGTGGCGACGAGTGTACGCATGCGCGCGCGTGTGTGGGTGTGCGTGAGAGAGAACGGACTAACCTTCGGATTGCCGAGATCGAGACGAGAGATTCGATTAGTATTTTGTTCTCACTCGAGTATCTCTTGCTGCTATGGAATTGAGTTTTGCTTTTTTTTTTTTATGGCTGTTCATTAACTGTCTTTTCTTTCTTTTCTTTTGTTTTCTTTATGCTTGTTGTTAGTTTTCAAAGAGAATAGATAACGAAGATGTGAAATTGACTGTTATCTTGACAATAAAAAAATAAGTTTTTCCATCGGTACAAACTATAAATATCAAAATGTTTTTACTGTACTTTTGACATTGGTCGTGTCTTTATTTTAATCTGGCTATTGCGAAATATCCGTTAAATGATATTTCAAAATAAAATTGTCGCAAATACAAGTTTACATAGCCTCTGTACATATTGAATGTATTGAATTCAAATTTAAACAATCATACATACATTCAATTAGAAACAAACGCGGATCTAATCATTTATAATATTATTATTATTATTATTGCTTATGATTATTGTATTTAATAACAGTAATACTATTAAATCGAATTAAATACATGTTTTCCCTAAACACATAATTACGTTCATTAATTTCGACTAATTTAGATTGTCTTTTTTAATTTTTTTCTTTACTTCTTTATTACTGTTATAAAGTTTTCCTTTAAGATACGTGAATATTAGTGCGTAAAAGCGTTAATTTGATTCGGTGAAAATTATTAATCCAACACCATGGTCTATTAATATGGAAATCGATTGAGCTAACATGTAATTCCAATTGTTTGCTTTCTCTAAGATTCTTAAGTGCTGAAACTTATATGTTGCTCTCCGCTCTCTGACAACTTTGTAAATATTGAAACATTTAGAAAATAACTAAGCATTCTAATTATGCATTCAGTTTCATTGTTGAAATATATCGTTACGCTTTACTTTCTTTCGTGCTGCTGTAAAATGAAAAAAAAAAAGAAAAAAAAACAAGATTCATTTTTATTATATTGCCATTCATTGGAATGGAGAAGCGTTTGAAGCGTTTAACATATTACATAACAATTAGGAAATTTCAAAAGTATAGCTTCCCTCCATTAAAGTGGAGACAGCCTTACCTTAGGCTGCATGCGATTTATCCTAAATAAAAATATGAAATTGGCGGAAAAATCAGGACAGACAACCATCAAACGAAAATGTAGCAAATGTACCGTAATATCGCGTTGGTAATGAATTTAATTTACTCATTTACAAACTTACTATGTTTATTTTTATCATTTTATGGCATTTTTATGCGTAGCATATCGTTTTATTAAGCTATTCATTTGGATATGAAAGTTATTAGCTTTATCACTTGTTTATCTTTGAGAAAGCGTCATTGAACAACACGATGATGTAGCGGAAAATTTCATTTTGATACAATAGGTTTCGTTAATACATTAATGTTGTTTTAGTTTTATTGCTAATAGTTAATAATATGTATTAACGAACTAATTGCACGTGAATGAGTAATATTTCGCATTTAATTATAAAGTTCCATTAGAAAATGTTGAAGTTTAGTTTAGTCATTTACCCAGTAGATATGGATTTGGTTCATGAAAATATGTCGAAAATTCAAGAAAATTTTAACGTCACTACACTCAGCTACGTAACAACATATAAATAATCGTGTCGGCATCCCACGTTTTCTTCATTCTTTAATTCTCTTCTCCAGCACGGACTAGCAACTTAAACTTTCAGTGCTTCCCGCCGTTTTCTTTTCCCCACAGCCGTCGTACTTTATTATTATTCTGATTGCGCACATAACTGGATGAATAGCAGAAAATAGTCTATTTCGTTTATATGTCATGTATTTATACACAAAGTTTCTAAATTTATATTTTAACTCCCGACGAGTTTACTTAACTCGCTATGCAAAATGTTTATTTACAACGAGTGTGTGTTGAACGAATAATACAAATGAAGTAACAATAGATCAGGGAGGCCTTTATTTTTAAAGCCTCGTTAAGAAATTATCGGCGTCATCGATTATATTAATAATTATTGTGATGAAATTTAGTTTTATAAAATTTCATAAATTCTGAAAATACTTATCTTTTTCCATACAATGTTTACTCGTTCATTATTTCACCATCTAATAATATTCCATATAAGATATTATCATAAATAGTTAAAGATTTTCAATATTTTAATGGGTCTTGGGTTAATTAATCCATGTAATACAAATGTTATTGTAAGTAAGATAGAAGTTTGAATATAAGTGCAGTATGATATTATGTTTTTTAAAAATGTTTTAATTCAATTGTTTTATTTTAAATTGGATTGCGATTTAGTATTCTATATATATATATATATATATATATATATATATGTATGTATATGTATGTATGTATGTATGTATGTATGTATTGAAGAGCTTAGTATTAATAAAGAAAAACGTAAAGGCATTAGTACGTGAATTTGTATTTAATGTCAACCTTGGTATGGGTATTGTAAGCCAGACAAATCGTTCGAATTATTTATCGACATTTTCAGTCAAAGAAATATTAACATTTAGCGCTTGAGTATTCGGTCAATAAAAAATTGCCTAGTTATTAGCAAGAAAATTGAAAATCTCCCGAGGATTCGAACAATCGAGAATAGAGCTCCATTGAATATTATAAAAAATTGAAAATGAATAAAATTACAAAGCAAAAACTTACAAATTATACGCGATTTTTACAAACAATAAATTCTATTTGCGAAGAAAAATAATCAGGTTCTTTGTTTAAATTGTAGTCAGTAAACAAGGGATATATTTATATAAGTTCATGAACCATCGTTTACTGCTGCACTCGTCACTCTTGTATTCGATGCCAATTATCGTAATACCCGATCAGTTCGCCTCGTTAAAACTTTTAACACGGAGCATTGAAAGGTATATCGATTAAATGTATCTTACGCAAAAGTATAAAACTGATCGTTTCGCATAGCTCGGACGAAAATATCACGCGTACCTGAGTTCTTTATATCCGTATAATTAAAATCTAGAACATTAACGTATGGATGTTATGGTCGAGTGTTAGGATTCGGGCTCCTCAGCTCGATAGCCCAAGCATTAGCATAGATAAGCTCACTATTTGTTGTTTTGGTCGTGCGCTTACACGAGTACAAGTGAAACCAGCTGGTAAGCGGGAGCTGCTGGGGGCTTTTCGAATTCCTGACGCTTGCCAAATAAAGACGAGCGTCTCGCGCGCCCACGTGGTCACTGCCCAAGCTGTCCTCGAGGCGAAAGCCCCGACTGGCTGACTTTACCATTATCGGCGAGCCTCGGCGGCGGATCGCGGGGGGTTGGGAGACTTAGCGATGCTAAGCGGCCGGGGAATGATCGAGGAACTATAAGGACTATTAATTGGGGGGGGGTTGTACTATTGGCGGGGACGGGGAGGTTACCATTATCGAAAAATGTGTCGCGTGTGGTTGGGTTCGATGCCTCGTGAATGCTTGCGTTGTGGGAGGATGCTGGAGGCGTCGGATCATTGAGAGCTTGAAAATGGTGGCACATTTGCTTTTTGCAGCTGATTAATTCGCCATTCGAGCTTCGCGTGATTATTACGAGAGACTTAGCTGCACTTAGGAATAATAAATATGAGAGGACGGGTAGGTAAAGCTTGTCTGGCCGGCCGGCTTACTTACTACCACTATTGATCCACCGCCGACTATTTTGCTTCCGAGTCACGTACACGATTTTCAATGAAACATCGCCCGTTTTTTTAGACATTTCTTTCTTCGCCTCTCGTCGATCTCGTCCATCTATCCAAAATAATAAAAAAATAAATAAATAAATAAATAAATAATAATAATAATAATAATAATAATAATAGTAAAGTGTCGCTGTCCGTTAATAAAGCACAACGCCTGAATCTAACTATAGAATAAAATTTATTTAATGTTTTATTTTTATACCGGTAGTAATGTTAATCAACTAAATTCTGAAAATTTCCAGTTGCCTTTTCTCTTCCTTTTCTTAAACGAGCGATGATTTTTTTAAGCGGACATAAATTGCCGCCTAATGTCAAATAGCAAAATATTCGTTTTTCAACATAGTCCGAGTTGCGCGAGCAAACTTGGAAACTTACGAGCAACGCCAAATGCTGTAAAATATTCCGAAAATATCAGCAAAGTTTATCCTCGTAGAGTCGGGCGACGACGACGACGAGCCTACGTGAACGTATACGAAATATACGAGAAGTCGCTTACCTCAGCATTATTCTACGTATGAAATTGAATAATATCGAACATGTCAGACACGCGTGTACGAAGATGGCGAACGGCGGCTCGTAACTGTAATAGAATTGACTTTACGGAGTATCGAGTGGTTGCACTGGCATTAATATTTAACAGAGCCATTTAATTATCATTATAATGTTCTTACTAAAATCAGCCTGATTGTGTAGCGACGTTCTTAAGGCGAAACACGATTAACGTCTAGCGCCCATAAATTTTTTCGGCTATTCTTATGTCCCTCTTCTAATAAATTCCCTTACGTAATAGGGAAATACGAGTGGGCGGCATGTGAATCACATGGGCAGTAGTAGTGTGATGGCGAAAGCGCGGGCTTGGCGCACGAAATCGCGGACCAATAATGACTTTTGTTTTATATGTTTGCAGGAATCTGGTGAAGCGCTACCAGCCGAAAAAGAAGGAGGAGGAGGATTATCAGTAAGTATTTGCCGTCCGTTGACCTAGAAAACCCGATTAACCTCAAACTGCACTGGCACGACGGGGCTTTTTCCCTCCTCGATCCAACCAGCCCCTGTGTATTACATTTACCTATCGCTAGCATCCCTGAGCCGCTCAATTGCATTACGGATTTCGTTCAATCGATCCCAATTACGCCGATTCCCCCAATATCCCCTCGTCGTCGACCCCTTTCCTCGTTCATCGACCGCGACACTTTTTACGCCCCAGCGCTTGCTTATCCACATAATATTTCCGCGCTGCGCAAATGTCGCGTCGTCGAAAAATAGTTTTTCACGCATCGACGCTAGCTGCTCCAATTTTACAATTTTACAATGCCCGCGATGCCTGGCGGATTCTTGGCTTCGACCTGGCCAACGCGTCTGCCTGGGTTGTGTGTGTGTGTGTGTGCGCGCGCGCGACTCGTGGTAAGATTATCAATAACTTGAGGGACGTGTATCGCGGCTATCATCGCATATCGTTCGTTTCGTTTGCTTAATGCCCGGTTATCCCCTTCTTATGTTATATCGAATGTTAGTCACTCGAATAAAATTCTGCGTTCTCGCCAGTTTTTATTCGTTATCGAGCACGTGGACCAAGCAAAAGTCCACGAATCACGAATAATTAAAGAATTTTATCTGTATGTCGTTATCGGGATTATCGGTGTATAACCGTACATTTATCACGCTGGATTATTTACTATTTTCATATGCAGAGAAATTTTTCGTAATTGGCGTTCGATGCTTCCTTACCGCCCGTTAAACGAAACGCGTTCAAGAATCGCGCAACACTCGATTAAACTAACTAAACCGCTACACAAAATGTCGTGATTGAATCAAAATATCACCACATCAAATGCAACGTGGTTATTGCGTATAATGAAATCAAGAGGAAATCTCTTTTGGAAATCAAAAGGAGCTTAGTAGATGTTGCACAAACCTTGCGGACCAACAACATACCTAAAGTATCTCGTAATATCACTTTAAAATCTAATAAATTGGCCAATTTCAGCAGTGGCTAGAGTAAAACATAACTTTCCATAAAGATTCACTCGTTTGCTTTAATTTTAGAATACTCGCATGAAATAATAATAATAATAATAATAATAATAATAATAATAATAATTGTATTTCGTTAGTAATAAAGATAAATCACGCTTTGAAAAACAAATTCATAACACATTACGTGCGCGCGCAACTTAATATAATTCGAGATATTGTATAATTAATGTTAAAGACAATGTCACAACGTAAGGTGTGTGCTCGATGTGATTTTTACAAAATAACGCGAATAATAAAAGCCTTAGTTGGACGAGTTAATAACGAATGTGAAAATAGGTGAGATTTATGCGTATGCGCATAAGTAATATTGGAATACTTCGCTAACGAGAACAATTTGCCGATGCTAAGTCGCACCTTTCATTATTTTTCTTTCTTTCTTTCACTTTTGCACAAATTCCGTAACACCTTGCCTGAATTATCGAATTAATTTATGCGATGTTGACAGTCGCAGCAGCTTACGTTTATCGGCTCCATTTTATACAAAATCTTTAACGTGCATTGTGAAAATCACCTCTACTCGAAGCCCGGCGATATCGTTGGAAAGTTGAGAAGAAACAAGAATTTCGTTATTTTACGTACGAGCACATTTCCAGAGTCTTATAAAAAATCCATGATCGACATCCTTGACGTTCTCTTTGCACGCAAGCATTATGAAATTTTTGTCTTCAATTTATTTTTCCATTTTTTTTTTTTTTCATTTCTTTGTTCCTTTTTCCTTTTTATTTGTAATTACAAAGAACGGTAATCGGGACAAATCGTATGCTTGCAAAATAATTAATTTAAATCAATGTTCTGGAATAAGACGTTATATGCGGCCGAAAACTGTGATGAGAATTAGTGTAGAGACGCTACTTCATAAATTTATAGCTTGAAATTAAATTGGAAGCGCAAACTTTCATTTGAATTAAATTCTAGAAATTCCGAATTACGTGTCTAAATGCTCGATTGGCGAGCAATGTCCGATGATAAACGATAAACGCGTGCGATTCAATGTATTGAAATTAAGTGAATGTTTTGTTCTCGATTTCTCGAGTCCATGACCATGGGATAAAAGGGTAAAAGAAAAAAAATAACAAGAAAAAAAAAAGGAAAAGCACAGCGAGCTGTGTAGGTAGGTAAATCGTAAGCTGCCAATGTGGTCGGAATTATAACGCCTAAGATATTGTACAGTTTGTCTACTTACGACAGATACTTTGTTATCCCTGTATTATCCTTTAATAAGAAATTAATTCCCACGAGATTGGCAGTCTTGAATAAGATACGACAAAGCGATAGGGAGTGGTCGATCCGTTTCAAGCAAAACCTCTCGTCCTGTCGAATCGACACGGAGTGATAAACAATAAACAGGCGTCTCGAGCTCCCCAACAATCCCATTAATATTTATTAATAATAATTATCGTGGAGCGATGCTTGGCTAATTACTCGTTATTTTCAAGTCGTTGTCTGAATGATCGGAAGTATAAGATTGATTAAGCGAGCGATCGAGGATGGCGCGCGTGCTAAAATAAATAAAGAGTCCCGCGATCGCTTAACTAACGAATGAATGAACCTATCGAGCGTCTATGATCGGTATGTTACAAAAGCCGACGTCCAAGACATCTCGTTTCCGCATAAAGTAAGATAAAAGGAAGGGAAAAATTGGGAAGGCGCGGGGTATGGACGAAAAAAAGAGAAAAAACCAAGGAAAGGAGGAGCGAAAGATACACCCACGGGCCGAGCTGGCTAAAACGAAGCCGGGACGTTGCTTACCTCCCGCGTCGTGGCCGTAATGGTGACCGTCGCGGTGGTGACCGTCGCGACGAACGTCGTAGTGACCGTCGCGTTCGCCGTCTCCTAACGAGGACATACGCATAAAAATGCGTCTGAGACAGCACGGCACAGGGCCGCTCACCGCGTCTCTTTCACTTTGCAGGTACAGTCCGTGCCGGGCGTTCAAGAAGGAGCTGAATGAAGTTAACGACCAGGCAGGCCAGCGGGAGGTTATCGCCGAGAACCTCCAGGCCAACGTGCTGCGCGAGCTCGGCATACTCGTTAAGGAGTTCAAGGAGGACCGGAAAAAGTACCTGCAGGAGGGCGTGAGACTGCGCACGACCCTCGCCGGCCAGATTGGCAACCTCGAGCGAGCGCGTAAAGCGTACGAGAAGGCCTTCAGGGAGGCGGAGAGGGCCTCCGAGAATTACCAAAAGGCAGATGCGGACTACGATCTGTCGCGCTCCGAGGTGAGGAGGAGGAGGAGGATGATGAGGAGGAGGAGAAGGAGGAGGAGGAGGAGGAGGAGGGGAGGAGGAGGAGGAGGAGATAGAGGAAAATGAGGAGAGGAAGCTGGAGCTAGAGCTAGAAGCACCGCGTGGGTCATGGGGTCCATCATTGACATCCTTGACACGGGGCTTAGGATTGTGACGAGGAGCGTGGTGGGGGACGACCGGGCTCAATGGCAATTTTTGCCTTCGCACGCGATAATTCTCCATTATCCTCCGAACGATGCATCACAATTCATTGTTAAGACTTGAAATTTAAAACGGATAAAATAATTATTAAGACGTTAAATATTAACAAGAGGTATGTGATGAACGTTTCCGGTAACTAGTTTAATGGCTTTCTTTATTTATTTTATTTCTCCAAACACAGCCCTCGCCCCTCCGTCCCTCCGCCAATCCGCCAATCCGCCAATCCGCCAATCCTTCTTTTAATCCAAGACAGTTAAACAAATGCAATATTTTATATGTCAATTGGCGTCGTGGGGCACTTTCGTTTTCTATCGATCGCGATCGTTGCGCGTTAATGTAAATAATCGTTAGATTATTATTGGCTTGGCCTTAGAGCGAGTACTACTTATTATAATAAAAATAGAGATTATGTAGTAATTATTTGGTAGCGATCGGCGAATTAATAGCCATAAATATCCAACGTCATAGACTAGAGGACTTGCTATTATTATGATATATGAATCAATGGGAAAAATAAACAAATTGACAAAGAGTCGGCAACATAATATCGTGAATGTGTTTATAATTGCTTATGCTTATTATAAACAGGCCTTTAGTTAGTCTCGATTATTAGGTTGAAAATGGGGGAAATTTGTTATGCTCATTCGAAATCTCTCACTCGTTTTAGGTTGAAAAACAGAGGATGAATATGAATATGAAGACGCAACAAAGTGAAGAAGCCAAGACGGAGTATGCAAAACAATTGCAAACTACAAACGACATGCAAACCCTACATTATCACACAGCCATGCCAGAAGTATTTCAACACTTGCAGGTTAGTTTAATTGCTGAAGCATTGTTGCAATAAACGTGAAAGTTTACACGCGGACGTTCAATTTTTGCATTAGGATAATGTTTAATTGAACTAATTGAGGAAATCGAGGAAGGATAGTGTAATTTGATATTCACAACGATTTTTAACGATTTATTATAGTATTTTTAACGAGTATTATATTGTTATTGATTTGCAATTAATTTTTCATAACGTATAACAATGTCGTAACAATAAAGTATTACTTTAAACGGATTGGCAATCGCTTGTGTTTTATAATTCTTTCATTCGATATTATTTTGTGGTAAAGAGTAAAGGAGTCGTCGTCGCTCAAACGTGCCATCGTAGCAAACACGATTTTTTCATTTTTTTTTTCTTCTTTTTTTCTTCCTTTTTTTCTTTTTCTTTTCTTTTTTCTTTTTTTTTTTTTTTTTTTTGTTTCTATTCAATACAATAAAATTCGCTTTCGAGATATTTGAATCTCATATTTCGAATCACATTTCGTTTATGGCGATGCTTATATTATAATGAATAAATATTTTTACGTCCAATTACTTTTCTAATGTGTGGCAAGTAGTATGTAGTTACCAAATTCTATAATGTCAACCTATCGAGCGCCTAATTTTGATAATTAATAATAATTTTTTATAAAAATTGCAACGGTATATTAGACGGTATATTGTTTGGGCTTGATATTTGTATTTAATGAACGAGAGAGAAATTATAAGTGTAAATTTTCCTAAAAACTGCATTCTTCCTATAATTATTTTCATTTGTTTCATTTATTCTTCGTATTATTTATTATTATTTATTATTTATTATTATTATTATTATTATTATTATTACTTTCTGAGAAAAAGGAAGGTTTCACGGAAGGAATAGCTTAAAATTAGAAAATCTTGATGCATTAAACAAAAATAATTGCTTTAAATATCGCACGGAAGATTATTTTTAAAAATCATCGTCTGCGTGAAATAAACATTATTTTTAGTTTTATCGATACGATGTTTTATTTCATTACCAGCGAATAATGCGCGCATATGCACTTCATTTCCAAATTATAACTACGTTGATATATAAACGTGACGGTATCAGATAACGACCGTTTTATTTTAAGACGAACGCCCATATAACGACATACACGGACGCACAATAAGTTCGAACGTAGAGGATTGGCCAGTGGACGTCACTTTTATGAGATTTTCTCAAAATATCCGTACCGATATCCGCGAATTACCGAGCATGAATATCAATTGTCTAATGCTCGAAATGCCTCGAAATTTCCAAGACTAACGACGACTCACCTGGACAGTTTAACCTCTGAACAAAGACACGGTAAAACAACCAATACCCCCCCCCCCACCCAATAGCCCCAACAACGTAATAAGAACAGATCGAGACGATATTTCGGATATTCGAGGCTATTATTGGCCACGTGTCTCTGTCGCACGCAACAGCACGCACGTTTAACGCTATATTTTTGAACCGGCAGGAATTGGACGAGAAGCGGATAAAGAACATGAGGAATTACATGCTCAAGTCCGTGGAGATCGAGCGCTCGGTATCGCCCATCATCACCCAGTGCCTCGACGGCATCGAGAAGGCCGCGAATGAAATTAACGAGAAGGAGGACACGTTCCTGGTGATCGAACGCTACAAGAGCGGCTTCCAGCCGCCCGGCGACTTCCCCTTCGAGGATCTCTCCGCGGCGAAGATGCTCGACAGCAATAGCCGGTTTCCCCAGCCGGCGATGCAGCCGATCCATAATCACCTCACGGTCAAGGGCACCGTATCCGGCATGAAGACCAAAAAGCGTGTCGGCATTTTCGGTATTTTCAGCAGCAACAAGGTACGCCACCGGCGCCTCGCCTCTTATCTTTAATATCGCCAATTTACCTTGAAATATTCGCCCCATAATTATTACGAGTTTATAAAGGCTATTTGCATTAGAGTAGATCGAGATAGATTTTCAATGCTTTCGGTTCGCAAGTTTCGTTATCTGCTGTTGTTGTTTCATTCCTTTCCTTTCCTATACTTTTTCTTCTTCTTTTTTCTCTCTCTCTCCCTCTCTCTCTCTCTCTCTCTCTCTCTC